ATACGTATTTTACTTTCATTATCTACGGTCTCAAGAGAGGTCCATTTAGGAGGAAACATAGAACTACACAAGTATTAAAATTACTTAAAATCTATTATTACGAATTTATTTTTAAGTTGTAATTTTATTTTTACCGTCTAATTGTTCGTGATACTTTGTAAAATAATAGATTCTATTTTATCAAATTTGCGATTTTGGTTAGTAATTATTTTTAAAGTTGATCATGATGAATTTTAAAGCAGAATTTATTATGTTTTAGCTGTAATAGTTGTGTAAAATAATACTAATCAAATTTTTTGACCAATCAAATTTAATATATATAGGCTAAAAAATAATCTACATCATATGACCAGTCACGGCATGGCTGTGTTACTCACCGATGTATATTAAATTAGGGCAAAGTTTTTAATAATTCAATCGAGCTTAGTTAATAAAAAATAGGGTTTAGATGAAATTTATTTCTGTTTAATTTGTTCGGAGAACATTTTTATTATAGCCAATACATTTGATCATTATATAATTTACACATTTCAAAAAAATCCCATAATTTTAAAAAAAAGCACGGAATAAATAAATATCAGATCAAAATCATTACTAGTTCTTCATCCTCTCAAGCCTTTTGGCTAAGATCAAGTGTAGTATCTGTTCTTTTCAGCTTAATATCTGAAATGATCCACACAGTGGATCTTCGATATTAAACTAATTTTTATCTTCGGGTAAGAAATCAATGGCTTGCTACATTTCTTACCACGGGTGTCCCTAGTATTGCACTACCTCTAGGTGACGCCCACCTTAGAATTATAGCGGGTTGGGAAGTGGGAAGTGTAAAATTTTTATAAATTATAAAAGTAAAAAAAAGTCTAGGGGTTAACATAAATTGCCGATTTTTGAATTAAATTAATAAATTAAATAATATCTAATGCGCTTTCTTTTTAAGAACATTTCGCTAAAAAATTTTTTTTAACACTCATTACAATTTAACCGAATTATTTTACAAACATTACATAATAAACTAAATTTTTTTATAAAATAAACTGGTTTGGCGTATTAAGTATAAAAAAATTTGACGATATTAAAAAATTATAATAATAATATTTTATTTAGGAAAGATTTATTAATTATTTATTATATAAATTAATATATTTAAAATAAATTTCTATTTAATTAAAATAAATTGCTATTAATGTTAACGGTTAAAAGAAAAAAACGTAAAATTCAAGATTTTGACTTTTAAAATGATGTAATAATCTTTGGCTATTTATGTATACAATCTAAGTTGTCAGTAAGATCTTAAAGAGTCAGAATTTTAAATTAAGATTAATCCGAGTGAAACAATTTATATACTCCTACATTTATTTATAATACTTTGAATTTTTTGAGCTTCAAATATTGTCTAGTTTGGAATAAGTGTTAATTAGAAAAAGGCAGCAAAACAAAGTATCTCAACGAATTTTACAAATTTAGAAATTCGTTTAAGAGTTAGACACATGATTAAAAATTCGAAATTATGACAGCATTGATGATTCTGTTAGGCAGAATAAAAATCTATATCTATATGTAATAGAGTAATTCTTTCAAATATTAACGTTAATACTTAAATAAGAATTACATCATCAGACTTAAAAGATTATAAATAAATAAATAATAATAAAAATTGATGAAATATGACACAATTAGACTTAAATTGTTTAGTTCAAAAGCAACTTATTCAAATAAAAATATTAAATTAAAAGTTTCCCGATTTGAAATCTTTAAAAGATATTAATAATTATAAATATTTGTAGAAAATGCTACATCGAGATCTTAAATATAATAAATAAAAAAGCGTTAAAATGAAATTTATAAAGGAAAAAAAAAACTCATAGCAATTATCAATCATTGAGAGCTTCAAAATAATGATAAGAAATGTCTATTTATGTTTATATAAATTCTAATTCCCATTCGTATAGTGATTGTTATTTATTTTAAAATACAAGTTTAAGATTACAAGACAAAAATTCTTAGCTATATAATTATTATTATAAGAGCAAATCATTGGTATATTCAGGAAACGGATATCAAAATCTCATGAAACATAAGGTTTTAGTATGAATGTTTTAAAATCACAATAGCACGAGAATGTACAAAAAAATAATAATTATAATTGTACTCGAACTATCGAGCATATAAATGTCATAGTACAGCTCACCAAAATCGAGCTATACTGTATTCAAGAGTTCCTACTATTGTATCATTTGTACAATATCTATTATGTGATATTAAGGTATTTCGTTGATGAATTGGTAGAACATTTCTTACGAAGTAGCCTACTGAATCCATTGCTTTTATTGACGGCTCTAAGAAGTTGAACATTTGAAACACATGGACCATATCTTTATTAAATAAAGAGATAACAGTATTTTTTTTTTTAATATATCATCAAAGTAATCGACAAAAATAGAATTTATTTTTTAAGAACACTAACCTTCATAAACTTCGTGTTGCACGAATGTAGACCCAGTTTCTGAAGCTTTTTTAACCAGCAAATAAATTTCATCTCTTAACACTTCGCTATCACCGCATTGTATTAGTAACGGTGGTAAATCATGTAAATCTCCAAATAGAGGAGATACATAAGGATGAGTAATCAATTTTGAACGTTCCTCATGGGATTTTAAGTAAAGATTTACAGGATGTAGTGGATCATCATCTTTTTGCTTGAATAAATAATCGTAGGGTTGATTTAAATCCCAACTTGCGCATGACATTGTTAAATCTACCCATGGCTATATATTATAATAGTAGACGAAAAAATGATGTTAGAGCTTTATGTATGCTAATATAATATATATATCTATCTAAAACCAAGTGAACTAAATTATGCCAGCTTACGGAAAATAAGACTGCACCGCCTGGTAATGACATTCGGTTATCACGAAGATAATAAAGTAATGCTAAAGCTATTAATTAAATAATAAATATTTTAACATATGCTAGATAATTCTTACGAATGGTAATTTGAATGTTAAGTAAAAAGAAGAAAAGGCTCACCTAAACCACCGCCGGCACTGTCGCCCGCAATAACAATGTTTTGTGGTTGAATTGCCAAACCATTAGGGTCAATTAAGTAGAGAAAAGAATGAACAGCATCGTGAAGACCACAAGGGAAAGGACCTTCTGGAGCTAATCTATAATTTATTGCTGATCATTGAAATTTCATTAGATAAGTATGTTGTAGATCATTCACATGCCAACATGTGAACCAATCAAATAGCATGTATTAAATGAATTAATACATGTGACTTACCAAATACTCTCCTTCCGGTTGCTTTTGATAAACGATAATTCAAATCTCTGTGTGTCTTAGCAGACATAAGATAATATGCACCGCCGTGTAAATATAAAATGACCTTTTCTGTTGACCATTTAATACCGTATTGATCGATATATATATGTTTATAACGTGCCGCTGATAAATGATATTCATCATTAATCTTTCTCCATAATCCTTTAGGTACAACCCATTCAGCACTAATCTCTCGATTCCCTGTTTCACTGTCTTCTAAATCCTTCAGTATACCAGCTAATCCTCTATTCAAAACTCTAAACGATACGGGTGTAACAACTATATCTGAGGGAGCAAAAGTAAAAGGAATGCTAGTAAACATTCTCAATTTATCAACATCAGCCAAATGAGTATGCTCAGTTAAGGCTCTCATGGCAGCACAAATCAACGTAAGTTGTATTGGCCAAGAAGGTTTACGGGGACCGGATAAATGGTGAGTAAGAAAATTTGCAGTTAAGATAGTTGCTTGAGAAGTTAGTAGCACAGCATGGTCAAGTAATTTCCAACTATCAGAGGAGGAAGTTGAGCAAGTGGTAGAAATGATGGATTTTTTTACTAAGGCTTTGGATGTTTGATGTTGATTATTTTGTTTGACTCCATTTTGTAATTTATCTTGAAGTGATGCTTTTAAAAGGTGAAATTATACATAGTAATTTATTTATTTAATATTTAATCAGTTATAAAAAAATAATATCGATACAATTTTTTTTGAGATTTAGATG